GTGTTAAAAATAGTAATTAATTTAGTATAGATCTTCATGCATGTTGTGTACATGTTTTGTTATAAAATAGTAAAAAATGTTGAAATTTAAAAGATCCTTGTATGATCTGAATAAACAATCTCTACAAAAGGTAATATTATTGGAAGCACGAATCCTGGGTAGCAAGTTTATACTGTGCAGTATTATTTTAGTTCTGTCAAGTTTGTCTTAGAAAGAACAACCTTCGTTTTCTATTGTGATAATAATGCGATAAACATTATTTCATATGCGACACATCTGAGGAACGTTCCGCTTACAATAGTTGTGAAAAAAATAAACACTTTGAAAAAGAGCAGGGATTAGTTAAAGGGTCAATCCATATCAAGTGATCCAGAAATAAAATAATTGGTTGCTTGACCATTTTTAAAATAAATAATAATTTTATCCCAGATACCTCTATCAATTCTGGGTTCAAAAGTGATTTTAATTTTTTTTATCTATTTTGTTACTTCTACGGCGGCCATTTTTGTTTTACGGAACACGCAAATTTTTGCTCATGTAAGGGTTTGCGTTAACTTGCACAACTCGGTAACCATGAACACTAGAGTGATGAAACAAAAAGCATTTTAATCTGGAAGAAACAGCCTAAATATTATGTTCAGTGCATATTTATTGAAATGTGTATCAAAAATAGTTTTAAACCCATCTCAACATTTCATAAGAAAACGGAAAAATTTCAACTTTTGAAGGCGTATTACCATTGGAACGAATAAAATCTCAGACTTGATTTTTTTTTTGTGTGTAGCAACTCAGTAGAACTGTTTGTATTTCAAATATCAACAATGAGACTTAATTCCTTTAAAAGTTGAAACTGAAATTTTTTGAAAAGTTCAAATTTTGAGTCTCAATATCTTTGTTGGGACAAAGTTTAAAAATCTGAAATTTTTACCAAAAACCCCTCTTATGGTTGTTATACTGCTGTATGAATTTCATCTTTGAGATTTACTTTTAAGCTAAGTTACAGTATCATGAAAATCACAAAAAACCCATAAGCTTGGTCAACGTGGCTAGTACTGTAGGTAGCTTAAAGATTAATTTATAGGTGTAGGTAATTATTTTATTTAATGTAAACTTATCTTAATGTACATTTCAAAAATCCAAAACAGATTTTTAACTTAAACTTTGTACCCAAAGTACAAATTAGGCCTATGTGTACCGCTACGGTACTAAAAATAAATAAAATCCTGCTAAATTTTAAGTTTTATTCATCATTTAACTTAAATAAAACCTAGTTAATTCTATTTATATTGAGGTCTTAAAATTTATTTTCCATTTAGATTTAATGTACCGTAACCTGTATATAACACAAATCAATAAAGTGTTTATCGTGGTATTTTGAAAAAAAAAATAACTCATATTCTGTGGGAACTGATACAATCTCCAGTACCTACAGGAAGTCGTAAATGAGTCACAAAACAGTTTTTCTTAACAAAATAATTCATTTTTATAACAGATGAAGAAATCACTCAACACCACAACAACAAACTCCTGGACCGATTTGAGAACTGTTTAAAGATTACTGGAACAAGAAGCTTCCATTGTTTTATTCCTGTACCGGACAGTAGTAATGTTAGGTGCTTCGTAACCTCACTAGCAACTGAAAGCTGTAAAAATTACACTTCATACCAAAGACTCTATTGCATTTGTGTATGACAGTGGTGGGTGGCAGAGGTGATTGACATCAGTTATCAAAATAAAGATCCAGCAGGACCAACAACCAACCGCCTTTAAAACAAATTAGAAAGACCAAGCTTGGGTGCCTATAAACTAAGTTTTGAGAAAATTAAATCTCTTTTAACTGACAAAAACCACTGAAAGGACAAACCCAAACTGAATAAAGAAACATCCAAACTTCCTCATTAGCATGATCAAAGTAGAACAAAAAACACTAACAAGTAAAAAAAGTTGTAGGCCTATACTTTAAGAACTTGTCTTTCAAACAGCTTTTGTACGTGAAATTTCTAATATTCTTTATTAAAATGAAAGTGGCTCAATAAATTAATAAATGAGTTCAAAATATTTAGGCCTATTGAAAAAAAAGGTGTAAACCTGAATGAAAATAATCTGATAAAAAGTTTTTTTTTTTAATTTCACATAAGACAAGAAATTTGCAAGAAAAGGCTATACATTACTTTAAAGTAAGTTAGGTAAGTTTACATTAAATAAAATAATTACCTACACCTATAAATTAATTTTTAAGCTACCTACAGTACTAGCCGCGTTGGCCGGGCTTATGGGGTTTTTGCGATTTTCATGATACTGTAACTTAGCTTAAAAGTAAATCTCAAAGATGAAATTCATACAGCAGTATAACAACCATAAGAGGGGTTTTTGGTAAAAATTTCAGATTTTTAAACTTTGTCCCAACAAAGATATTGAGACTCAAAATTTGAACTTTTCAAAAAATTTCAGTTTTTGAAAAATGATAACTTTTAAAGGAATTAAGTCTCATGGTTGATATTTGAAATACAAACAGTTCTACTGAGTTGCTACACACAAAAAAAAAATCAAGTCTGAGATTTTATTCGTTCCAATGGTAATACGCCTTCAAAAGTTGAAATTTTTCCGTTTTCTTATGAAATGTTGAGATGGGTTTAAAACTGTTTTTGATACACATTTCAATAAATATGTACAGAACATAATATTTAGGCTGTTTCTTCCAGATTAAAATGCTTTTTGTTTCATCACTCTAGTGTTCATGGTTACCGAGTTGTGCAAGTTAACGCAAACCCTTACATGAGCAAATTTTGCGTGTTCCTCAAAACAAAAATGGCCGCCGTAGGAGTAACAAAATAGATAAAAAAATTTTAAAATAACTCTTGAACCCAGAATTGATAAAGGCATCTAGGATAAAAATATTATTTATTTTAAAAATGGTCAAGCAACCCCTGTTGGATCACTTGATATGGATAGACCCTAAAGGAAGTAAAGTAACATCACTGTGTAGTACTCTCTTTGTACATTACATTTGCAAAAAAATATTTTAGGCATAGACATACCGAAGAAATGAAATGTAAAAAAACAGCTAGCAGTATTCATGAAAGTAAAGGAGTTCTGTGACTACCTAGTTTTAGATGGTTGTGATTTAAAAGATATTAAACCAAGAAAAAAGTAATTCACAGAGAAGTAAGATACAGAGGAAACATCCAATGGTACGCTAGTGGTGTCTCCAACTAGTCGCTGGTGTCCCAAAATCCAACACTGCCCCCTTACATGTACTAGTACGACAATGTTTACGACGGAGAAAGACCTTTCGCCTTGTGTGATAGGAACTTCAACACAGTGCTTGCCACTCGGGCTCTTGCTTGCTTGTCACAAGTATATTTTTATATATTTAAGCACGGTCATCCCATAAGCATGATTCCTCTGTATATTAATTCCCTATGACTATTAAAGAAAGGGAGACCATATTCAAAATAGAGAATCAGTAGATACCACCATTCATAATGGGAATATCAGAGACAAACGGGAAATCACATGTCTAGCTTTTGCAAATGCCCTAGCAATAAAAAAGATAGAAGTAGCCTACAGTACAGTCCCTATTAACCAAGGTTGTTAGGACCACCTAGGTTACCGAGAATCTCTGATAACACGGAGATCACTGAAATTTTGAGGTTAGGGGTTAGGATATTACATTAGGAAGTCAAATACTTGTAAAATGTGTGTCTAACAGTAAATAGCGTAGCAAGATAAATGATCAAATTGAATTTTCATTTGACCATTTACACAGTCATATCGTTATAAAGGAATCGTAATGACAAAGACTGACAAAACGCGATACAAGCCTACATTCTGCAGACCTGGTCTAGCTTGCCAATGGTTGGTGGCCAACCCAATATTTTGTGATTTTTATTTTCTAAGTTGCTGAGGATAGTTTGTACATCAAAATAATACTCGTAAAGATTATTTCAAGTAGGCCTACTAATTTACTAATTTGTACCTCACTTAAAACAGAAACTTTAATAACTTAATTATTGTTTTCCAACCGAAAAAAAAAAAATTATTTAGGCTTACAACATCGGATAACAAGGGCTCAGATAATGGATAGTGTATTGTAGGCCTACACAAGAGATTGTGCAGAACCTCTCTTAAAAAGGGGCTAGCAGGGTATCACTCAGCTAAAAGTCAAAATATATGAGAGCAGCTGATGTTAAGCAGCTGACAGACTACTTAGTGGAGAATAAAACCACACAGTACAGTAGAACCTCTTTAATCCGAACTAATTGGGACCGGGGGTAGTTCGGACTATTGAATAGTTCGGATTACAGAACATATCTGTTGTTTTTACATAACAATAGCTAGGGAAAAGTTTAAAATGCTTTATAAAGTAAAATACAGTTTTTATTTAATACAGTAGTAAACATAGGGAATAAAAAGTACTGTACATTACAATTAAAATAATTACGGTGCGTACTGCGTATATCAATAAATACAGTTTACAATAAAGAGCTACTGTACTGTGTTCCGACAAAAACACAGTACAGTTATTTTTTTTATTTTTTTTATTGAGTACAGCAATGAGGCGTTCGGATTAGTGGACGTTCGGATTACAGGGGTTCGGATTAAAGAGGTTCTACTGTAACATTAATTGATAAAATATCAAACTCTTAAATTATAGTCATTTTTAAACATTGAATTCATATTTTAAAATTGTCTTCTCAATGATAGTTTGTGTTGTTTTTGACAAGCGTGACGATCAAATATGTTTTCTTATTGGTTGAACTACTTTACCAGCGCAGAGAGATTATCCATTCAAAATAAATAAATATATAATACATTCAAGCGGGCACGGTTTTACTAGCCACCAGAGGCTAATTGTCGCTAAGGATGGCTTTTCATAGCTGCTCCGTTTATTTTTCGGACTTTCCGGCCTGGACTCAGACTATAGATGGGAATGAGGGATCCTACAAGGCCAATATAAGAGTTCTAAACTAGCCTAACAGATAAAAGTGGGCACCTACCTGATCATAAATGACACACATGAGCAGAACGATGTGAAAGAAGGAGGTGCAGAAGCAGACAGGAGAGCTGAAAAAAACAAAGAAAATAATTCAGTCCATGATGATTGGAGAGCGAGCTGGTCTAGTGGCAGAGCACAGGACTTCGGTCCCAGGTTCAAATTCCCCCAAATCACCAAAAGATTTTATATAAGTTATAATGCTACAACCCCCCAGGCCTAGCCTGGAGTAGGCTAATGTCAAAAACTATCATGTGCTAGAGCTTAGTCCTGGGACATGATCATGAAAGAAAAATAATTAAATGATTAAAAATAAAATAAATTGTATGTAGCCTACTGTATATGATTTAATTCTTTGCTTACAAATTAAGGTACAAATTAAGCAACTAACAATTAGGCTACAGTATTGGTTTTCTGCAAACGAGCCTCTACATCAACTCTGACAAAAATCAAATACCTACTTAATTTTTAAAAAAATAATAGGCCTAAAACTATCCACAGAATGACTGCTCGTAATTTGCTAACAGATCTAAAAGTTATCGATTTATCTAGGTTCTTGGAGTTGGCAAAGCATTTTATGCCATTCTCTTACTGACGAGGTATTGGATTCTAAAACAAACTTAATTTGCCTACTTCCATTCTCTGATGTCTTATGGAATTTGGTTTTGGGCCAATTTTAAGCGATTCAAATAGAGTTGGCCTATTTCTTTTGCAAAAAAGGCCAGTTCACGACTGATGGAGGAAGCATTTTAAAGAATTTATGATTCTCCCTCTTCTTCCTTATACCAATAGCCTATATGTATAGCTTAGTTAAGCACTCTCACTTTTATAATAAATCCTCCCCTTATTGAAAAAAAATATAGGCTATATTTTAAACCTATTCTGTTCGTTGTAACACCTTGTTCAATAATCTTCCAAATCAAAACAAGTTAATCTTTTAAAAATCACCCCTTCCCTTCAGTTCCTTTTTAAGAACTGTTTCTACAGCACTGCTGAGTTTTTAGCTGTTGGGAGGAATCAGAATGTTTAAAACAACACAAACACAAGGGTGCTGTCAAGATATTGGGCAATGATAGAAAGAGTCTAGGCTACTTTTGTTTTGCTATGTAAAGCTTTAAGTTGAGTTTTAAAATTAAGTTATGTTTGCAATTGTGATTATTGGAATCACAGTCTTATGAAAGTTGACAATAAATAGATAAATAAATAAATAAATGGGTAGTGTAAACGACTCCAGTAAGCTCCTTTAAATAAATTTACACTTTTTTCAACCAGTTGAATTAGGTAATAATACTAGAAAGAAGAGGTTGCTAAGGTGTTAAGTAGGCCTACACTTTTGCAAAATAAAAGGATAAGTTAGGGCCTAATCAAACAATTAGATTAACTCGTTGTTAGTGGTTTCAATTACCAGTTGGGCCACTTGATCTAAAGGTGGGTTCAGCCGATAGATTGAGGCGACAAGGTTTAAAACCCACACCAGGTGTCTCTGGCCTATGTATCAATTTTAGTAAAGATTCTAAAAATATGAATTTTGTTCATAATGTAGAGGTAAGATATCAGTAGGCCTAATTTTTATTTTAATAGGCCCTAGAGTACCACCAAAGAATATGGAATTCCGAATTGGTTGACTTCATAAGTTAGCCTACCTTCAAGAATCAAGAATCAATATTATATTCCATTAGACATACACATGCATTTTGATACATCAATTAAGTTGATTACATGCTACAAAAACACAAGTCAAAGATAAATTACAGTAGGCCTACATAAACAAATCAGGCATTAACAAAAAAATCAAATAAGATACAAAGGTCATTTAGATGGCACAGTGAAGACTACGGTATACTTACAGAAAAATAGATACAAGATATAACTTAGTTTAGTGAAAAACATTATTTACATAAGAAATACTTATGAAAATGGCAGAGATTAGATAACGATTTCTTTGGTTGAACATTCAAAAAATTCTCCCAGCCCATATAAGGGTGTAGCCTACAGTCAGCCACTTAAGAATTTTATTCTTGAAAGCTTTGTTGTTTAACAACAGTATTTCCTTGGGGAGTTTATTAAGGTATTTGAGTCCCAGTACTTCATAATAGGATATGATTTTTTCAAGTCTAACATAAGAGATGTCAATTTTCCCTTTATTCCTGGTATTAAAATTGTGGACATCACCCCTAAGAGTGTGGCATTACAGGTTCTTAAAACTAGCCAACAAAATTTTATATAAAAATTAATGAACAACAGTCAAAATCTTAATATCTACAAAAAATGGTTTACAGATATCCTTGTGATTGACATTTGCCATGATCTTGATCAAATTTTTAGAAAAGAACATCAGTGATGTCAGGGCTGCTGCCCCAAAAGATTATTCCATAATCAAGGGCTGATTAGAAAAGTGCAAAATAAGCAGTTTTTATCATAGACAAAAAGAATTAAATATAGACCGTCAGCTGTGCTGCGGTTACCATAGGCTCTGGCGCACACCGCTTGGAGCACCATTTAGTTACGGCGTACGCGCTACGTAAACTACAGCGGTGTGCGCCGGAACCTATGGTAACCACAGCACGGCTGACAGACTATATTTAATTATTTTTGTGTTTTTATACAGTCAAAAGGAACTACATCATTGAGTTTTCTGAAAAGAAATGTTAATCTACTTAGTCTAGTACAGAGATGTTCAACATGATATGACCTATGACCCACATAAACACCCAAAAACTTATCAACTTTGACCTTGTCACATTGTACTTCAGGAATTTTACGAAGTCCAAAGACAACAGTTTGGGTTTTCTCATTGTTTAACAAAAAGCTATTTGCAGAGAACCATTCTTCTGATACGTTTACTGAGTGTTTTGCCTCAAGCTCAAGAGATTCTAAATCTCTGCTTTGTGTAAGCAAAGTTGTGTCATCATCATTAAGGTATGTGTTACATTTGAGACTGGATGGAAGATCATTTATTGAGATTAAGAATAGCAGAGGGTCCAAGACTGAGCCTTGTGGTACCCCACAGTTGCTTGTTGCTTAAGGCAACCGCGGACCACCGACCCCCGCTGCAAACCATCTGTCTTACTAGATATATGTAAGATATGTCTTCAGCAGTTTTAAAGCATTAATTTGAACACCATAAAACTCCAACTTATGGAGCAGGACAAATGGTCAAATGGCCTTAAGCAGCAGATACCAGTAGCTTTAGCTAGTTAGTAGGCAATAACTCTTATAATTTTACACAAAAACAGTTTCAAGGTCTAGGATACATTAACAAGAACTTAAGTTAAAAAGTTGAATTCAAGGAGAAAAGTAGGGTTAGGATTTACTTTTACGTTTTGCTTTAGCAAAGCTTAGGTCTTCAAGCTAGGTTAGGAATTTATAATAATGCTTATTTGTCGGATTTGTCCGTACTTAAGTTTTGTTACTTAGATACCTACATAGATAGAAACGAATCTTGTATATTTCTGACAGTGAACTAAGTATCCTGCACGATGAAACAGTCTTGACTTCAAAAAGGACTGGTTAACTTATGACAGGAGTTGTGTCCCATAGAAATTTGTAAAAACACATCACTTTTCAATTAATTTTCACTCATGGTCTATAATTCCATTATTCTCCTGAAATGTTGTCTATCTAATATTCTAAAAGCTCATAATTTTTACCTATACAATACAAAGTAGGGACAGAAACCAGGAACAACACCAACCAGAACCACCAATTAATTAAATTACTTCTGCCACTCACTGCCGCTGCCAGTGCCAGTGCCAGTAGTGCCGTGCCAGTGCCAGTGTGTTCGTGTAGTGGGTAGTAGTATAGTTTATTCACGTTGAAACCAACATTAGTACCATTGATTAATAGAATTACTAGAATAGAATTAATACCATTTTTGGGGAAATGTACAATCAATGATGGTACAATGTATTTATTTTATGATAAACGTATAGGGAATATGTTATTGTACATTATGTTCGAAAGTATCACTAGTGTTTTGTGTCAACTAACTATTGCTAAATCTGTCGGCTCGGCATTATTGCCAGATTATTGTACTTTTTGTGAACCTGTATAGTTAAATTACAAAATCTTAATTTTTATAAAGATTATACAGTTATAAATTAATTATTGTTATTTATTGATTGTATACATTATTGTTTGTTATTTATTTGAAATCTAGCTATCGCTTGATTGTTATTAGCGAATTTCCCTATAGGGAAGTAGCTATTACCGTAGGTGGCACGGTAAGACCTAGACCCGGGACCAATTTACTTTTTCATTTTGATGTCCCCAGAGGCCAAAAACACCATTTGTTCAAATTTGTATATATGTATATATATATATATATATATATACATTAATATATATATAGATTTATATATATCTACGTCGGTGAACGCGATAACTTGAGTAATTTTTGTCCGATTTTGATGAAATTTGGTTTAAAGGTGGAAAGCGGGATAAACTTGAATGAGTTCGCGAACCAGCATGATTGGACCATGGGAACGGGGCTTTACGGGGGGTTTTATGGGGTAAAAATTGGGTTTTCTCACTTTTGACCCTCAAAACACAAAATTTCCCAATTTCTCTTTAGACCTTTTTAAAAAGCTTAAAAAACAAATAATTTAGTATATAAAAGTATTTTTGTTCGGTTATTAGTAACGGAGAAAATTTTAAAAATTGTAAATTTAAAATTCCCATGTTATTCTTATGGAGAATATTTTTAATTGTCAAATGTTGTAGTTTGCTTGTTTATGGATATAATTTGATCAAACTTGGCGAATTTATTTATTTTGTACTAAGCTATCAATATTTTACTAAAAAACACACTTTATTAGTTTCCTTGTGGCAGCAAACCTAGGTACTCGTTAAACCTAATGATATTAAAATATATTTAATTGAAAATCAATTCAGACAAATGGAAATTCGCTTAGTCGGCAGGTTTGCTGCGGCGGGGGTATTATTAACTTTACATTGTAAAATCGTGGAACCGTTCATAATAAGGTACCTACCTAATAAATATGTAAATAAATACCCCCGCCGCATCAAACCTGCAGACTAAGCGAATTTCCATTTCCCTGATTTGATTTTTAATTAAATCATCAAATAACATTAGGTTTAAAGAGTACCTAGGTTTGCTGCCTACAGGGTAATAAAGTGTGTTTTGTAGCAAAATATTAATCTCTTGGTATAAAATAAATAGACTGGCCAAGTTTGATCCAAATATATGCATAAACAAGCAAACTACAACAGTTTACTTATTCTCCATAAGAATAACATAGGAATTTTTAATTTATAATTTTCTCCATAACCAATAACCATACAAAAACACTTCAATATACTAAATTATTTGTTTTTTTAAGCACTTCAAAATGGTCTAGAGGAAATTTGGGAAATTCTATGTTTTGAGGGTAAAAAATGAGAAAAACAAATTTTTACCCCATAAATCCCCCCATAAAACCCCGTTCCCATGGTCCGATCATGCTGGTTTGCGAACTCGTTCAAATAAATGTAGGTTTACACGTTTGTACCAAATTTCATTGAAATCGGATCATTTTAGCTCGAGATATCGTGCTAACGGACACACACATATATATATATATACATATATGAATTTGAACGGATGGTGTTTTTGGCTTCTAGGGACATCAAAATGAAAAAGTAAATCGATCCCGGGACTAAGTCTTACCATGAGACCTACGGTAATAGCTTATTCCCTATATGAGAAATTCGCTAAAATAAATATTGCTCCCTCCGCCACGGCCACCTTTAACTCCAGGCCGCGGCCTGGTAGAATTGACAACGTTGCAAAGTGTTGTTTAGTGTCAGACGTCCCATATGGCAGACCGGTTACATAAGCTCATTAATTCGCACTTTATTTATGTAAATTTAAATTTATGAACATAAATTTATTGAAATATTGAAAATAAAACACGCAGAATTGAAAACCAAAACAATATCAATTGAAATCTATATCTGTACATTTAATTAAAGCGGAGTCAATATTTTCATGTAGTCCTCTAACCAAGCTTTCGTAAATAATAAACAAAATACCATTAGTTGCTTCCAAACAAAACAGCTGATACAACCTACTTGCGACGTTGTCACTTCGAAGTTAGAAGGACGCGGCCTGGGTTTAAATCACGAAAGGCGGCCGTGCCTTCGCTTGCTAAGCGCTGATTAGGGCATATTTTTTTCGATATATCGATATGTTTGATTTCCTTCACAATCCCAAATCCTTTCCTTCTATTATATCTTCAAACTCATTTAAATTACAAATTGACAACTGACCTTGTTCAGGCAAAATTATATATATATATGTGAAACTGTAGTCTCAGTCTAAACAGTAAACACATCAATTAGAGGAAAACAAGAAACATTTTTATAATGCAACAACTCCTAATTAAGTTAAGATAATGTATCAAAATTGATCAATAAACAATCCATTCATGTTTAAAAAAATAATATCTAAAAAATCCAAATGCAACGAAGCCTATGAAAAAATAGTTTTATACATTTATTTTTTCATACATAGCCTATATTATTTATTTCATATGAATATTTTGTATTAGCAGCAGCTTAACTGTGAGAAATTTAGAAATGCACTAACATAACAACTACACTAAATCTAAAGTATTATAAAGAGAACGCAGAGACAAAACCAAGCTCCTGAGTTGAGATAATAAAGTCGATATAGAGATAGTAAGTCAATATATTCGGGATGCATAAGTTGATTTATTGAGGTAGTAAATCGACAAATAGCCAAAAAATAAACGTGTCCAGCACGTCTAAGCGCTGTTGTAGTAGAAAGTACCCTGCTGATAAGTGACGGACTGATGAGCGCCACTCATAGAGCAAATTGTGCTCTATGACGTCACCATGCGGACAGACGGGCCTCAGGCCGCCTGCTTTCATTACGGGACGAGCGAAATTCACGCTCTTATATACACGCTTCCCTACCTTTTGTTATATTTTCCAGTTATAAAACTGAATGCTGACTTCATAATGACCCCGGGGTTTCAGGGGGTCGATATTCCACAAAATCTTATTAGGCTCTAGCAATCTTCCCAAAAGGACATCTCGCATCGGAGGTTGAAATTAAAATTGAGGAAAATTGAAAGTTATTCAAATGATTCAATTGGTCGGAGGTTGAATCACCCTTCTCACGGATTCTTATCATAGATTTTAGAGGTGTAAAGTGATGTTGAGACTTTTTAAGTTTATTACACCTTTGAGCAAAACAAATCAACCCTCCGGAGACTCTGTGATCTCAGCAAGGCTTTTGATGTATAGTTTCTCGTGATGCCTCAATCAAATCAAATCGAATCAAATCAAAATATTATTTATTTCGCAAAAAACAGACATAACATAATATTATGATCCCTGTATATTACAATATTATTTATTTTTCTAGGTTATATTTAATTTTCTATAAAAGCTTTTTAAATCAAGCGAAATTATCCCCCATAAAGGATAATTTAATCCTGTGAGTGGGAGAGAGTCGTTATATTAGAGATTTTTTTAAATTATGAAAAAAAGGAAATTTGAACAAGTTAAAAGTTGAAAGTTGAAAGTTGCGCTGGAGGACTGAGCGTGAGCGAATGGTGCCCCCCACCTCCCCCCCTACCCTACCCACAAAAGATAACCCAGCGAGCACAGAATAAAAATAGAGAGGACATCCGTGCGCGGCGGTGAAGCCAAATTTTCCGCGGGTTTGACCGAATCCGGAGTGGGGGGAGCGATGAGTCACCCTAGTACCGAGCGTCTTGAGCGCTGTCACGAGGCTCCGCTAGACAACATTTAGTCGGTTGTTGACATTGCATTCAGCAGAGCTGTAGTGTTTAATCAGTTGAAAATGGTAAATATCACTGAAGTAATCATTTCAAAGGTTTTAAGCCGTTGCATCGGCCTACCCATATTCATATCAGATCATTACAACGATCAAGAATTTGAACAAAACCATCTGATCTTACTGCTGAAATCAATATATGAACTTATAATATTGAACTATATTTACTTGTGAAATACAAGCTTAGAACTAAAGCCTGTTTATTTCTCCACACAATAAATCATCTACAATCATTACCTGAAGAGAAAAAGTGCCAGTAAGTACAAAAATATTTATGTAGGTTAATTAGATAAGTGTTTCATTACTCGATTCTTAGGGCAGCAGTGAGTGACGAGACACGGTCGCAGTGACAGCGTGCAGTGCCCGAGTCGCGCCGCCGCGCGCCGTAGGACGGATTTTACTGCCTCTTCAACCTAATTTATTTCCTTTACCAGCCATCACAGAATTCTCAGAAAAATATATGTTAAGGTTCAACTAATGCTCTCAAACTTTGCCGCAGACGAAACTTTCCTGACCAAAAAATAAAAAAACTTCCTCGATTACTAATAATTCATGTTTTCACAAAAGAATTAATAATTTCTTTCAGTTTTATCAATTAATAAAAACAAAATAGGATATATATAATATTTTAAAGCTTACTATTATTGAGCAGTACTAATAAATTTTCCCTGTTCCAAGTTTGGTAATTTTAGGACTACTGTAAGTGCGTCTAATCATCGAGTATCATAAAAAGGGTTTTTGACGCTGTTTTACTCGGTCACGGCGAGTTGACCGAATCCGGAGCGGGGGAACTTGGCGTCACGGCCTATAATGTTATTTAAATACGCATGGCCCCTCTATTTTTATTCTGTGCTCGCTGAGATAACCTGCTGCTGCTA